TGAATTTTCGGGAATAATTTTGTTATTTATCGACATACTTAATTGAATTCTGTCGAAGAATTATTTATGTAAATAATTGAATTATTGTGAAGAATTTTATTAAAATCTAAAAGAATAATTGAATTATTGCAAAAAAATTTAATTAAAATATTTGAAAATAATGGAAATCCTGCTTGAAAAATTCTAATATTTTTGTAAATAATTAAATTCTTCCAAAGAATTTAAAAAAAAAATTTAAATAATTAATAATGAGAGGAATTGAAATTATTGAATTTTTAAGAATAATTACATTTTTTGAGCAATTCCTGTAAAATTGTATTAAAAATAATTTAAATCTTGCGATGAATTTTATTATTTGTGGAAAATAATTGAATAGTTGCAAAGAATTTTATTAAAATTTTCAAAAATAATTGAATTCTTTGAGAAGAATTTTATTATTTATAGAAATAATTGAATTCTTGCGAATGATTTTATGAAATTTTTTTTTAAATAATTGAATTTCCAAGAAGAAATTTATTACTTTTAAAAAGTATATAATTAATTTTTTTTGATCAATTTTATTAAAATATTTGAAAATAATTGAATTTCTGTTTAAAATTCTAATATTTTTATAAATAATTGAATTCTTGTAAAGAACTTTAAAAAAATGTTTCTTCAAATAATTGATTTTTTGGAATAATTACATTTTTTGAGCAATTCTTGTAAAATTGTATTAAAAATAATTGAAATCTTGCGATGAATTTTATTATTTGTGGAAAATAATTGAATAGTTGCAAAGAATTTTATTAAAATTTTCAAAAATAATTGAATTCCAGAGAAGAATTTTATTATTTATGAAAATAATTAAAATTATTGCGAAAAATTTTATTAAAATGTTGAAAAAGATTTGAATTTTTTCGAAAAATATTATTAAAATGTATAAAAAGAATTGAATTCTTCATTAGAATTTTATAAACATTGTTCTAATTAATTAATTTTTTTGAAATATAATAAATATTATAAAAATTTTATTTTACATTATTGAATTCTTGTCGAAAATTTTATTTGTGAAAATAGTTAAATTTTTCGATTAATTAATTTAAAATAGTATTCTTGCTTAGAATTTTATTTTATCATAATTTTTTTTTTAAAATTGAATTTTCATGAATAATATTATATTAGTGAAATAAATTAAATTATTGTGGAGAATTATATAAAAATTTTGTTAAATAATTGATTTTTTCGAAAATGCTATTCTAAATTAATTGAAATCATATAGAACTTTTTTTTTTAATTATGAAAATGATTGAATTTTGTATGAATTTTATCAATTTTTTAAAAAAATAATTTGGACCTAATTTTGAGGTTCGCCTCTTGTAGATCCAGAACTAGGTCAAAATTGACCTAAATTTAAATAAAGAATCAACCTTTGGATAGCAGGTAAAAAATTAGGTCAAATTTAAAATAAATTTTGTCGTCAAGTAACAAATCTCTTGACCTGTAGGTCAAAAATATGTAAATTTAAACTAAATTTAGACGTAGTATAAATGAAATTGAACTATAGAAAATATTAAGTTAAATTTGACCGAAATGTTGACGTTATTTAAGGGGCCATATGAGAGACGTAATGTAAGGGCCTCAATTGGGGCTCTTTTGACTTGTACGTTAAAATATAGAGAAAATTGGTGTCAAGTGCACAAGTTTGAAGCATATATTTGAAAATAATTTTTAAAGTTATTAAATAGGGAACAATGGGGAAGCAATAAATTACCACTAAGTGAAGAATCGCGCATATTAGGGAGAATATCACAAATTATATTTTTGTTATTTGATTGACACATTATTGTAAACAATATTGCACCCAAATGTTGTCCTACTTGAATTGACACTATAAATATGAGATCAGACGCTATTTACATAGAATTTGTAAAATTAACATTTCGCACATCCAAAGTAAATTGCGATGTTAGACAAATTTCTCCAAACAGTTTATGAGTTTGGAAACTCGGCAAATTGGTTGAGGATTATTCTTTGTTTAAACAGTAACAATATATATAGTTGTATTTCGTGTTGCAAACCGATTGGAGTTAAACTAAGGTTTCCTAGTTTCTAATGAGAATTCTCACACTCTCAGGTAACTAGACAGAGTTTTGCGAGAGGAAAGTGTAACGGTGCGAATGGTACGACTGATATACCTACAACAGTTTACTAGCCCGTATGTATGATCAATTCAGTGATATAGTTCCACCACACCTGGGACTATATGCAATTGCTTCTCTACTCTCTCTGTATCCTGTACCGCTTGGTTCCTCTTCCTGCTATATATATATATATATATACATATATAGTGTGTATATATAGTATATAAATGTATATATATGTGTATATAGTACATATATATTAGAGGCTTGGCAACAATTCATCGACGAATATTCCTGTGAGGCTATAAGGGTTCGGCATGCGACTTCAGTTCAGATGAGTGCCGATTTGCCCAACAGGCTACAACACTATAGATATTGGAGACAATTTCCAACAATTGCTATAACTTTGCTTCGGCCTCTGGATACCAATTATCGAACGCTCATATGATGATTGGATTCATCACATGATTGTTTCAGGTTATTGTTTTGTGAATTATTATTTAGAAACAGGAGGCGATACTGGAGCTAAAATAAATTAACCTTCCATTCATTCACTTACTTTTTGCCACTTTATTCACGCACTGGATCAATTTTATCAAAACTTTATATCCCACGTCGAAAAATTCCATGGAAGTACCCCCTGTAAATTCCATGGAATTTCTCAATTTTAGAATTTATTTACAGTTCAGAAAAAATTTGTATCTTAAAAGACGACGCTGGTCTTGTAAATTTATTTTCAAAATTTTTGGAGTCGAATATCAAATTTTGTCTCTTCTTCATCAAATTGGAGTTTCTTTTATTGAAGAAGAGCAAGATCCACATTTGTTTCCAATTAACGAAAAAAGTCTTGATTCGAAATAAAAAGAATTTATTAATCTTCCAAGTCAAAAAAATAAAAAAACAACTTTTTACGTTTCGACAGCTCAGCTGTCCTATTCATAAACTGGAAATATTTATTAACAATTAGAAAATAATAAAACATATAAAAAAATTAGAAAATAAAATTTTACAAAAAAAAAAAAAATTACCGAAAGTAAGAGTTGTTAAATAGCTTGCGATCAACTCAACGATTACAAATCAACTAACTACACTAAAGGTTTTAACAAAAGACAAAGGTCGATGACTTTGCAGAAAACAAAATTATAATACATACAAAAACAATAATAGTGAAAAGAAAAGGAAACTAATAACCGAGATAACAAACATCAACTGACAAATATTGTAGAAATAATATATTTGTCCTAGCTGCACGAAAAGTATGTCATTTCGGGCACTTAAAGTGGGCGCAAAGTAACTGATTCTCGCCCGGGGTCGGGGAAGCGGGCGCAAAAGTTCTTTTACGCCCGCTTGCTGTACTTTTGCGCCCGCTTCGCTTGTGCCCTCAATGCCATACTTTTCATGCAGTTAGGACAAACAATTCTGTTCGCAACATGGGCGCAAAGGTGATTGGGACGATGGCGAGATTTCGGGACCTCGGGGACACTTTCGCACCCTCGGCTTCGCCTCGGGCGCGAAAATGTCCCCTCGGTCCCTTCATCTCCCAATCACCTATTTTGCGCCCTTGATACGATAATAACTATTAAAAATTTTTTAAAAATCTTTATAAAAATTATTTAAATTTTTTAAATCATCTTTTTTATTTATAGAGTTTTTTTTGTAAATTAATATGAATCATCTCGGATATCAATCTTTTATTCCAACATGATTCATTGTCCAAGATAGAAACATTATCATAATCGAAGTCATGTTTTAAAATGCGTTTATGTTTTGCAATCACATTGGTTTTTGATGCTCATCAATTCTCTTTTTTAATATTCTTTTTTATTCACCTACATAGCAAGCAGAACAATTCATACAATTAAGCTTGTAAACACAGTTTGTTTTATCGCACTTTTTTGTCTGATCTTTTCCTCTTATTATATGGCTGTTATTATTAACAATGCGAGGTATAGTTATTATATTATTTTGTTTTAATAGTGTAGAAGTCATTTCATAAAAGTCACTAACATACGGTAAACATATTTTATTCACTCTACGATAAAAATATGAATTATCCACTCGATTTTTGTTTAAAGTTATAAAATGAATACGTTTTTTATATATTTATTAATAAAATTTTTTGGATAACCATTCTGTAACAGTAAGTTATGAATAATATCAAAATTTTTTTGATGAAAAATTTGATTTGAAAGCTTCATAACTCTGTCAGTCAGGTTATAAACTATTGCTATTTTTTGTGATAATGGATGCTGTGAAAAAAAGTTCAAAAATCTACTAGAATAAGTAGATTTAGTGAACCAATCTGTAATTAAATTATTATTTTGTTTTATAAGAAGAACATCGAGGAAACTGATAGAATTATTCGTTTCAATTTCATGCGTAAATTGCAAGCGCAATTTTTAAATATAAAAGTCTTGATTATCTCATTCAAGAATGAATTTGATTTTTTAATTTCTATTTCAATAGAGTGCAATTTGCTCGTTTTAGAAAATTCTTTTGCGTTTAGTTCGAAAACTTCCCTCTGAAAAGAACAGAACAGGAAATTAATTTACTTCCGAGTTCCTAACGGTGAGACGACTGTCGGTGGAATGCCCCTCCACTGAACGCGCCTTCTTATATAGTCGCTCGTCCGCTGTACGCTCATTGGCTCTCGGGCGCAGTGGAGGGGATAAAGCGCAGGCGCCGTTTCTCGGGAAGGCGGGACCGAGTTGCGCGGTACCGACTGCGCACTTCTTTCCGGTCAGTTTACAATTCTAGTTTTAATTCTAAGCGTCAGCACAAAGTGTATTAAATTTCCCTTCCAATTTTAAATTTTTGTTTCTTATCACTAAAAATAGAGAATAATATGCTAGGAAGAAAAAAAGACCAGTAAAAGGAACATTTTCATTTTAAATCATTTGAAACAGCAATTTATTTTTAACCAACACTTGATTACATCTTTAAATTATTTAAAATACAGTTTGAAATTTAAATTTAGACAAGGAATGGTACTTTTAAAAAATACCACACGAGACTAAAAACGAATGTTACAATTTTGAAAAATACAATTTTGAAGAAGGATTTTTTTTAAAGTTCGAATTCAAATTATGTGCAATATCCAGCGACCCATCCTGGTTCCTTGTAGCAAAAACCAGAGCAACATCTTCCTTGACTTCCGTCAGGTTGACAACCGTTCCTGTTGGCAATACACTGGGCCAAGGTTGTTGGTGCCATTATCAAAATTGTCGCAATGAACACGAAGAGTCCGAAAATCTTGCAGCTCATCATTTTTGATTTTCTTAAACTAAAAGTTGAGAAAAGTATTTTACTATTATTTTGAACTAGGAAAAATAGTTTCTTCATTCCCACAGCATCTAAACTTGCAAGAACATTGCCCACGTTACTTCAATATTGTGAAACTTGCAGCAATTATGTCAATGTTGCATGTTTAGATGCTGTTGGTTTATGTTAAATGATAAATGTGCTCTTTTAAGATCCGGAGCCTCAATTGTGATACTAAAATTATTTTTTAAAAGTATTGTTATAAGTATTAAAAAATATTTTCCAAGTATTAAAATTTTGTAATATTTGGAAATAAAAACATAAAGAATTTTTATATTTCTAAGGCTAAAATAGAAATAAATATATTTATCAATGTGAAAAGTACAAAATTAGTAAAATTTGAGTAGAAGAATACTTACTTGTTATTCAACAAATTATTAAAAGAATGTTAAAACTTGTAAGTAGTCTCTCAAAGATTGAACTGAGTTTTTATACACCTTTGAAAAATGACGTATACTTAGTAAAAACATTTAGTTACAAATTTAAATATTTAGATGATAATAACTTTCAAATACATGTTCGATAATCGTAGTTATTTATTTACCTTTGATTAACTCCCTATCACTCTGTTTAATAATAAATAAAATGAGCAAACAAAAATAAATGACCAATTTTTCGTTATACTCGTCGCTTTATTTTTTCAGTTGTTAGCAGCGAAAACATTCTATTCGTATAAAAATCTTGTTCACTTCAAAGGAAAGCACTTTCAACTCACTTCTTCTACTACCAATCGTGTTCTACACTTGCAGTAAGTAATTTACTATTTATTTATTAAAAAATTCTGTTCATAAATTCAATTTATAAATTGATAATTAAAAATTACTAAATTAAATTAACTTGTTATTATTCTTAAATATTCCAAAGTATTCCACACTTGAGAAACAATTTTTACTCTATTTTGTAAAAATATTTCTTAAACCAAAACTAATTTTGGGAATATAAGAAAAAGATAATGAAAACTATTTTTTGTACTTTTAGTTCAAGAAAATCAAAAATGATGAGCTGCAAAATTTTCGGACTCTTCGTGTTCATTGCAACAATTTTGATAATGGCACCAACAACTTTGGCCCAGTGTATTGCCAACAGGAACGGTTGTCAACCTGACGGAAGTCAAGGAAGATGTTGCTCTGGTTTTTGCTACAAGGAACCAGGATGGGTCGCTGGATATTGCACATAATTCGAATTTGAGAAACATTGATTGCGTTTTTCAAAATTTTATTGAAAACATTTCATTCTAAAAATGCATTTGAAAATTTTTTCAACAATGTAATGAATTGAATTGAAATAAATATATTGAAATTGAAAAAAAGGAATTTTTCTTTCTTGTTGGTTTACAAAATTATCTTCCTAGATGATTCCTTAAAGTAACCTTGCAATTAATTTAATAATGACAAAGTTCATATACTTAATATTAAAATTGTCTATTTTTCAAAATTCGGGGCATAAAAGGATAATATTCCGTGACACAGAACCAAAGCAATTTTCGCAATTAAAGCTAGATGCGGGAATTAAAAACAACCGTAAGAAACAGAAACTAAAATATTGCATCTCTAAATTCTAGATTTAAACAAAAAATAGAAAAATTAAAATATGAAATTTTCAAATTCAGAGTTGTCACTAAAATTTTATTCTGTTTTTCCCTGATTTTTCTCTGACCTCTAGAGAGAAACTTAATTTTTTCTCGACTCTCTATAAAAATAATTCAAGGGAATGCAATTTTTCAAAAAAAAATTTAGGACTAAAAACTTAATTTAATATTATATTTAATATATTGTTTACCTATTTTAAAAATAAAATTATTTAAACTATGACAAACTTATTCTTTCATCATTTCAAAAAATTTAATAAAACTATTACATAATTAATTTATTTTAAATTGAAGAAAAACTAAACTTTTTATAGAATTTTCAAAAGAAATTTTAGAAATTTTGATTTTTAAAACAATTTCAAATTATATTTTTTTAAAGTATAATTAATAAATAAAAATTTTAATTGCCGGCTCTTTCGAAATTACATCAAGTCAAATGAAATTTGTACCTTTGATGCTAATTATTTACAATAACAAACATGTGAATACATATTCAAATATGACTCTTTATTAAATTCAATTATTTACTATACCAAATATTAAATTAACGGGAGGGCATACAGATATTTTTAATTATGTTAAGAAAATAATTTAAATATTCCATACAATTATTTTTATAGTATTTTTCTGACAGGAATTCAAAAGTCATAAAATAAAAGGTGAAAGAAAATATTTTGACTATTTTTGAATTTTTATTTTTCTAAAAAATTGACAGATTTAAAAATCCATTAGTAATTTTGTAGAAAATATGTTTTTGTATTTTAATAAAAAATTGTCGAACAGGAAATTAATTTTTACAATTTTTAAAGCTCTTTATTTAAACTTTGTTTTTAGACTGAAAATGCTAAAAAATACCTTTGTTATTCAATTAGTTTATTTAGAAATACATTTGTTTATTTTAAACAATTAAATTAAGTAACTTCAAATCATAAATTTATTATATTTTTTGGTTTTATATTTCTTATTTCAAAAAAAATTATGATTTGAAGTTAGTTAATTTAATTGTTTAAAATAATAAACAAATGAATTTCCAAATAAAAAAAATTGAATAACAATGGTATTTTTTATCATTTTCAGTCTAAAAATAAAGTTAAAAGAAATGCTTCAAAAATTGTAAAGATCAATTTTTTTATTTAGCAATTTTTTTGTGGATTACCACATTACGCATGTATTTAAAAAATAACCAACTTTTAAAAGAATAAAAATTCAAAAAGAATCGAAATATTTTTTGCCCGATTTTATTTTATGCCCATTGAATTCCTCTCAAAAAATAACTATAATATCAATTTTATTTGAATATTAAAATTTTTTTCTTGATATTATTAAAAATATTGGTGTACTTTCCCCTTAAAATTCTTTGAAAATATTCGATTTTTTAAAAAGTTTCTAATAAAATTCTTTAATAAATTGAATTATTTTCAAATGATTCAAAAAATTGTAATTAATTTAGAAATTCAATATGAATTCTTTATAATAAATTTTTTTTAAATCTAACCTTATTTCTTCACAATTTTATAAGAATTTATTTTAATTTAATAATTTATTATAAAAAAATTTCCACTTAAAAAGTTTTTAAAATAAATAATTAATTAGTATAAATGTCTTCAAAGCAATTGAAGCTTCAAAAAATTTTAGTTTATAACTGTAAGTAAAGTACTTCTAGAATTTAACTATTAAAAATTCCAATTATTTGAAAATATGAAAAAATTAAGGTATTGTTTTCAAAAATTATTGTTATTCAGAAATTTTTAAGGTGAACAAAAATTGAATAATTTTTTTTCAGAAAAGTTTTTAGACATCAAAAACCAGAATTTTTATTGTAAATTTTAAAATTTTGAAATTTTTTCAACACTTGATGAAAGTCCCTGATATTTCAGTAATTTTCCTGATCAATTTAACTTTCCCTGACTTCTCTGATTTTTCTGACCAGTAGCGACCCTGAAATTTTACTGTAATAAACAAAATAAGTAGAATAATTAAAATTAAGTAATTTTTACGTATCTTCATGAACAAATTTTTAACAAACATTTACATAGTTACAAGTACTTGTATACAAAGATAAAAGAAAACTCTTATTTGTATTTGAAAACTGACGTTGACAAATGTAAAAATATTTAATAGATGATAAAATGTTTCCTACACACCTCCATGATCTTCTCAATATATTATTTTTGGTAATAATATATCAATAATTCTTATCCAGGTAACAATTATTATCAGAAAAAAAAATTGTTTGACCCACTGGCGAACTGTTTGATAAATAAATATAAACTCAACTACTGGACATGACGCATCTTATCTTAGTTTTCATCATTTTGTTGGTTCAGTTGTTTCAGCAAAAACAGTGACCAATTTATTCTATTCGTATAAAAACCATGTTGAATTCTAAAGTAGGTACTTACAATTCAGTCCCTTTTACTGCAATCGTGTTCTACAGTTGATGTAAGTAACAATTTACATACACACAATTCTTAATTAACAAAAAGATCTAAATATTCCATTTTGGAAGAGATTTATTGCAAAACATGGTTATTTACAATGCAGATTAAGTATTTTTACAATTTTTTTTCTGTAATTTTAGTTTAGACCCTAAAAAAAAATTTTTACAATTTTTTTTTCTGTAATTTTAGTTTAGACCCTAAAAGGTCAAAAAGGATACAGATCTCCCTAGGCCACCTAATTTTAGTTAAAGACCTTAATAAGAAAACTAATTTTAGTACACTGAGAGACCTTTGGGTCAGCAGCAGACTTTCGATAGGCTGCTACTGACCATTTTGGAGGAACGCTACAGGACTATACTTTTGGGTTGCTGTGGTAAAATCTTGGGCGCGTTACAGTCCCAAAGTTGTTCAGCTGCAAACCGAAGGCGGCATTCCCACTACTTCGGTGAGCTGCTCACCAACATTTGGGACTGTCACGCGCCCAAAATTTTACCGCAGCGCACCTAAACCATAGTGGAGCTGCTGTCACATACGTTGTTCCGCTACAGTCCCTAAGGTCTCTCAGTGTAACTGAAAAAAATAACTAGATAGTTCGAAAATAAAAAACAAAATTATTTTTCTTTTTGCATTTATAGTTGAAGAAAATCAAAAATGATGAGCTGCAAAATTTTCGGACTCTTCGTGTTCATTGCAACAATTTTGTTAATGGCACCAACAACCTTGGCCCAGTGTATTGCCAACAGGAACGGTTGTCAACCTGACGGAAGTCAAGGAACCTGTTGCTCTGGTAATTGCTATAAGGAAGCAGGATGGGTCGCTGGATACTGCAGATAATTCGAATGCGAATTTTCCAAAAAATCCTTCTTCAAAAATGTATTTTTCAAAATTGTAACATTCGTCTTTAGTCTCGTGTGGTATTTTTTGAAAGTACCATTCCTTTGACTAAATTTAAAATCCAAATATTATTTTCAAAAATTTAAAGATGTAATCAAATGTTGAACATTAATAAATTGTTATTTCAATTGATTTAAAACGAAATTGTTCCTTTTGCTGATCCATTTTTTGTTCCTAGCATATTATTTTCTATTTTTAGTAATAAGAAACAAAAATTTTAAGTTAGAGGGAAAATTTAATACACTTTGTGCTGACGCTTAGAATTAGAACTAGAATTGTAAACTGACCGGAAAGAAGTGTGCAGTCGGTACCGCGCAACTCGGTCCCGCCTTTCCGAGAAACGGCGCGTGCGCTTTATCCCCTCCACTGCGCCCGAGAGCCAATGAACGAACAGCGGACGAGCGACTATAAAAGAAGGCGCGTTCAGTGGAGGGGCATTCCTCCGACAGCAAATAAAGCAAACATATATCTGTATCTCTCTCACACTCATGGCCTAGTTACAAAACGCAACGCAAAACGCTACCATGGGACTCCAGCCTTACCGTTCGGAACTCGGAAGTAAATTTATTTCCTGTTCTATTTCTTTCAGAGGGAAGTTTCCAAACTAAATGCCAAGTTTTCGAAAACGAGCAAATTGCACTCCATTAAAATAGTAATAAAAAATTTAATACAATTTATTTTTGAATGAAATAAAAATGTCTTTTGTGTTCTATAGAAACAAAAGTGAATCTTTGAATGAATTGAAATTGCAAAAATACTTTTGAAATGCTGCCAAAAAAGAGGAATTTCCAAAAATTGGAAACTTTTTTTAGTAGTGTTTTTATTCTTTCAGTAATAATTGTAGAGGAAAGGGAAAAGCAGTTAAATGTACTTCGAGCGTTAAAAATTTAACTCCGGAATTAATAAAAATAAAGAGCAGATTTTCTGCCATCAAATAGTTTGGTTTTTACTTTTGTAAATTGTAAAAGTTACTTTGTTTTTCGTGTAAGAGAAGGGAGTGTGGTATTATTACAAGAGAAACATTTTTATCATCGAAGATAATTTATCTGTGATAATAAAATTTTTTTCATCTTTCAAGAATTATTGAAATGTACAATTAATGTTTAGCTGACAATTAATGTATTCATTTTTAATACTCAATTATTTTTTTGTATATCAATAAGACGGCTCTTTAATAAACATTTTAGACGACTCTTTATTGGTCAACGAAAAAAATTTTAATACTTCTGTTTTTTTATCATATATAGAATTTGAAAATGAAACAATGAACATTTCTCTATCATATGATATTAGAAAAATTTATTTTAATATAATTTACTATTAACTATAATAATCGTGGTATTCTTTCTTTCTGTCCACATTTGAAGTTAGCCTTTTGTCCATTCTTTTGTTTTTCGTCAAGTTTGTATAGATTTTATTGTAATTATTTTTTTTTATTTTATAATAAATTAAAAATTTTTATTAATTACTTAAAATAAATGCCTATTAATTTTTAAAACTTTACTGTTTTTATTCATTAATTATTATTTTATGGAGAAAAAAGAAATTATTACACATTTTTTCCGTTTAAAAAAAAATTAAAACTTTTTAACAAAAATTATAATTGACAAATAGAAATCAGACAAATTTTTTTTATTTCTTTTGAGTAAGAAAATAAAGTTCTGTTAAAAATTTTTGTTCATCGAATCGAAATTATGCATATTTATCATTATTTTCACACAAAATTAGAGCATTTTAAAAATATAACGAAATGGAAAATATACACATTTTGTTCATAAAAATATAAGTTTGTTTTAGAAAATGAAGAAAAATATTTGCCTAATCCCTATTTTCTAATCACAAGTTTTATACAAAATTCTGCTTTTTTAAAAAAAAACTAGGAAACAAATTTAATATTAAACCTTTCTTTGTGAAAATTTTATTATTTTTTCTTGCTTACTAAACTAAGAGTAATTTTATGAAAAATAAAATTCAATAATTAATTTATTGACAACTTTGAAAATAATTAGTTAATTACAAATTTTTATTGTAAAGGTTCGAGTGTAAGAGGAAAATTATTTTCAACTTTTGCTGTATTTATAAGTGTCAGAATTGTTTGTTCAAACTCAAAAAAACTTAATCATTTCAATTAATTAAATTATCTAAAATTATTTTTTAATCAATAAGGACCTTAAGAAAGAATTTAATCTATAAAAAATAAAATTTCTTAATAGTACAATTGATTATAGTGATTAATACCTAGTAATAAAATTAAATTTCAATCCAATTTTATTTTTATAAAAAAAAATTTGAATTATAAATTTTTAAAATTGTTAATTTTATATAAAATAGTAAAAAAATAGTTGTTGCTAGTTATTAATATTTATGATTATTTATTTATTATTCAAAACATCTTTTATCTTAATTTATAATAATTTAATTTTATTATTTATGTATGTAAGTATACTTTTTAATTTTTAACGATTTTTATTTTCCTTTTAATATTTTCTGCAATTCTTTTGTATTTTTATTTTCATATTTTGGACTTCTGGGCGCAAAAAAATTTCTTTATATTTTTTACGCCAAGATTTTTATATCCACTCGCAAATTTTAAATTTGGAACGCAAAAATAAAGGAATGAGGAAAATTTTCATTGTTTCCATTGAGGAAAATGTGGAAACTTTAGTTTAAAAAAATACTTTGAGGAAATTTGATTTTTTACCCTAATTATTCTGTAAACAGAATTTATTTAACCTAATTCGTCTTTCTCCTGACTTTTTTTCTTTGACTTAAATTAAAATTATCTCAGCCTCCCCACTTGTGTAATTTAAAAAACTTTATTATTTTCCTCAAATGCTTACATATTTTTCTTTTCATTTTAAAAATTAAATATAATTTTTAATTTCGACCATAAGGATAGAGAAAGAATAAGAAATTTACTCGAGTGCAATATTTTATTTCAAATACAAAAATTGAACAATGATTTTATAAATTTACATTCGTAAATCTTAAATTTAGTAGACACCTGATTAAAAATAAGTTGAAAAAATATTTTGAAATTTAATTTTTCATAAAATAGGCATCCGGCTTTTTTTCCTTTTTGAACATACAGTTGAACAATGAATCTACTTTTTTTTTACTGACAGACTCCAACGACCGCTCCTGGCTGTTTGTAACAATTATTTGAGCAACATCTAATTTGACTCGTTTGAGGAGCACAGCCGTATCCGTTAGGGAGACATTGTCCAAAAGTATCTGATGCCATTATTAAAATTGTTACAATTATCAACAAAAAACCGCAAAACTTGAAATTCAACATTTTTCTTTTATCACTTGTGAAATTATTATTGTAACGTTATTGGCAGCTTCTTGCGAAATAAATAATTTCAACTTTCTTCAAGTAAGATTTATAATACTGAAAGAAAAATAAAAATGTACAGCATAAAATTTATCAGGAGGAAAATAAGGGAGACAAATAAATTAAATATGTACATTTCCCCATTTAACAACATTCGTTTTTATTGATATTGATAATTTAAAATCAACTCATGCGTATGTTACTTTACGAAAACTTGGCAAATAGTTAATAAACAAATATACAAATAGAAGACAAAATTTTTCCTCTTTCGTGTATTAAAAAATTGCAAAATTCAACGTCAGAATTGTAAACATTTTTTTTTTTATGAAAAAATGATGAAGAGAAATTGACTGTAAAGAAAGTTTTTCTTTATTTTGAATTTATTAAATTATTTATTCCTTCAATTTTTTTTAATAGAATTTATTTATTTTTTGTATTAAATTATATTTTCTCCTTTATTTGTTTATTCACTTATTTTCTTATTTATTCAGCTATATTTAAAAGTTTATTCAAATATTTATGTATATACTCAATTGTATATTTATTCTTTCCATTAGTTGTTTAATTGTTATTTAAAAATTTATTGGTAGGTATATTTATTAATTATTTATATATTTATTTTGAATTTTAAAATTGTTTTTTTTTTATTTATTTTGTTAATTATTTGTTTAATTATTTATTTAAATTAAATTTATTATATTATTTTATTTATTTTTTTTTATTTACAAGTAATGTAACAATAGGCCTGTGGCCTTGTTTACATGAGTATATTTATTATATTTATTGTTATTTATTTAATTATTTAAAAATTCAATAATAATTAATACCGTATCGAAGAAAAGTAACAAGATTGTGCAGTAGAAAACTACAATATATTTACAATATAATGATTTAAATTCAAAAAGTTCTTTCGAAAATTAAGGAATAAGTTATTTAAAAAACATCGTTTACAATAATTTTGAGCAAAAATTTAAAAGAAAATTAAAGAGATATCAATAAAGTAAAGAAAATATTGTGTGTTCATTAGGAAGGAGAAGGAAACTTTCTTCAATTATCATTAAAGAAAATGTTATTTCAGTTGCTTTTTTGACCTCCTTTAATTTAGATTTCGAGTATAAAATTCGCTTAGCATTGCGAGGAAATCATTCATTACATTCTCGATCTAATTCAAAGTGCATTTAACAATTCTCTGTAAGTATTTCTATTTTAATTTTGACATTATAAATAAACACTTTACTTTTATTCCAAATTTTTATTTTTACTAAATAAAAATAATTTTTACTAAATAAAAATTATTTTTACGAAATTAAAATTATTTTTACTAAATTAAAATTATTTTTACTTATATTTCAAACTAATTTTATTTATTTTTACTCGTATAAAAATAATTTTACATATTTTTATATAAATTGCGACCTATTTTGACTTACATTGACCTATTTTCACTTTAGGGGAGGGTTCGTCTATATATTTTTAACTATATCAAGAAAATGATTAAAATCTTCCATAAAATTATTTTTTATAGTAATTTTTTCCGATGAATTTAATGATTAAAAAATAAAATCAAAAAGAAAATATTTTGATCCTTTTTTGAATTTTCACGTTTCTCAAAAGTTGATAGATTTTAAAATCCATCGGTAATTTTGTAGAAAATATGTTTTTGTATCAACAAAAAAATTGATGAATGAAAAAATAGATTTTTACTAATTTTTGAAGCATTTTTTTGAAAGGAAGCATTGTTTTTAGGTTGAAAATACTAAAAAAAAATACCATTGCTATTCAATTTTTTTTACTTGAAAATACATTTGTTTATTTTTAACAATTAAATTATTTATTTATTTATTTATTTATTTATTTATTTATTTATTTATTTATTTATTTATTTATTTATTTATTTATTTATTTATTTATTTATTTATTTATTTATTTATTTATTTATTTATTTATTTATTTATTTAAATGTACAGACGGGCATAAAAAGCCCTTTACAAATAAAACTAAATAATGCAGACTAAAATTTTGTCTACAATTTAAATACAAAAATGAGTCAAATTAATACATTAATAATTAACTAATTTCAAATTATAATAATTTTATCCGATTTTTTTTTGTTTTATATTTCTCATTTTAAAAAATTATGATTTTCAATTGTTAAAAATAAACAAATAAATTTTCAATTACAAAAATTGGATAATAATGGTATTCTTTTAGTATTTTCAACTTAGGAACAATGTTTTTAAAAAAAAAAATTGCTTTAAAAATAGTAAAAATTAATTTCTTTATTCGTCAACTTTTTGTGGATACAACAGAATATTTTCTACAAAATTATCGATAAATTTTAAAATCAATAAATTTTTAAGAAAAATTAATATTCAGAAAGGGTTAAAATATTTACTGACCGATTTTATTTTATGACTATATTGAATTTCTTTTAAAAAAAATTACTATAAAAATAATTTTATTGAAGTTTTAAATAATTTTCTTGATGTAAAAACTATAAGCGAACCCTCCCTTTAATTCTATTTATTTTTAATTTCAAATTTTTTTTGTTTTTTTACACAATTTGACTTAGATTTTAACAAACTTTGACCTATTTTCACAAATTTCTATCTGATTTTTTTTATTCATATTTTTAATTATTTTCGCATATTTCCAATGATTTTCATCTGGTTTTATTATTTATTATTAAAAATTAAGTTGAAATGTCAACAAAATAATTATTTTCAAGCTTTATTAAAAAGATCTACATAAGAAATTTGCAAAAAAATAATTATACAACCAAATTTTCATTTTTCTATACAAAAGACGACAATTATTCTTTTTTAACATAAATATTTCAATTTTCAGTAAAAAAAACCAAAAATGATGAAACTTTTCGGACTCTTTATGTTGATTGCTGCCATTTTAATAATGGCACCAACATCATGGGCCCAGTGTATCAGGAACAGAGATGGATGTCAACCTGATGGTAGGCAAGGAAATTGTTGCTCTGGTTTTTGCTACAAAGAACCAGGATGGGTTGCTGGATATTGCCGCTAAAATGTTCATGGAAATTGATAAAATTTTCTATTTTATCAATTTTTCCATAAGATTTCACTGAAATAATAATGTGTTCATTTTTATTAATAATTTTGATTTTAATTTACTGCGTAGTTTAGAATGAAATAAGAAATTTCTAAATGAAATAAATTCCATTTATATGTTTAAAAATGTTCAATTTAAAATAAACGTTTTTTTTGGTGAAAATGTTGTTTAGCTGAAATTTTTCTGTTTGCAATTCATTTCCCTTAAAGTTATTTTTAAAGATATTTTTTATTAATTTTTTACGGTTAATGTTATAGTGAATAAGAGTCACAACACTTTCATACAAAAAATAAATACATCGCTTGCAAAGAATTTAATTCGCACCGCCTGGATGCAACTTCCGGGCTGAATTTATCATTGAAAAGATAAATATTTGAGAGAGTATACATTTTATTAAAAACAAAATCGAACATAATTGACATATTTTCTTCGATTTCCATTTCAATTCTATTTCTTAATTACAATAATTGTTTTTAATAAAATTCAAAGTTTTTTTTTTAAATAAAGGATAAAAATGTTTATAAATTCTATTTGTCTATTACAAATTTTAATTGAAAATGCAAATTTTTGAATTTTTAGAAATATAAAGGAAAAAATTTTACTCAAAAAAAAACAAATTTCTCCAATTGAAAAATTATTCAAGAACATCAATAACTTCTTTTTTGAATAAATATTTAATTATTATTATTTTTCCATAGAAATTAGGATTTTCAAAAATTTCAAATTCAAACCTTATTGTAACTAAACAACTTTTAAAATATTATTTTAAAACATTTAATATTAATTAATTAATTAATAATTTAAAACATTTAAAATTAATTAATTAATTAGTTAATAATTTAAAACATTCAAAAATTTCAAATTCAAACCTTTTAGTAATTAAACAACTTTTAAAATATCATTTTAAAACATTTAAAACATCTTCATTTTTATAATAATTAAAGATGTTCGAGAGATAAAATAATTATTTTATATTATAAGAATATTGTTACTGTAACTTTTTCAAAATTATTTTCATATTCAATTATTCCCTAAAATTTGAACTGAATTAATTTTTAAATCAATTTTTTCTAGAAAATTCTACGAGAATTCAATTATTTAAACACAAAAAAAAATTATTTATTGAATAATTGAATGTTTCGTAAAATTGAATTCTCGTAAAGAATTTTATTAACAAATTTTTAAACAATTGAATTCTTTTGACTAATTTTAATAAAATTTTTAAGAATAGTTACATTTTTCAAGGAATTCGATTTTTTTATTTATGAAAATCATTTAAATATTGAGAAGAAACTAATAAAACAAGTTGTAAATCCAGATGTTCATTACATGAACATTTTGCTTCCTCTTTACGATCAGCAAAAAAAATTTGCTTCCTCGTGAAGGAAGCATTAACGATAAATATATTTCATTTTTAAATCATTTTTAATACAATTTAACATTTATAAAATAAAGTTCATTCGTCTTAATAGAAAGAATAAAATTTTCTTATACAGTAATATGAATCTAAATAAACAAAAAAATTTTTAGTTAAAAAGTGAATTTTTCAACTTTAATTGTAATTAATTCTATAATTTTCAATAGAATATATACTTTATATACATCAATCGATTCGTCTTGATGCAAAGAATAAGATTTTTGATTTATTTTTTAATAAATAATAACATTCTATTGTACAGCAACATGATTTTTAAGAAAAAATGAATTTTTATTAAAAGTGCAAATTTTTTGTCTATAATTGGTTTTAATTCTATAAATTTAAATACAATATATACTTTATATATACCAATCGATCCGTCTTTGAAATTTGAAATTAAATTTTTTTAAAAAACTTCGCTTTTTCAGAATTTCTAAATTGGCTTTTCCAAAGTTAAATAATTTTTTTAAAATAAATATTTACACACTTATTGTTATTTATTTGTGCCCACCAGTTAATTAAAATATTTCAAAATAATTTCAATGTAAAACTTTCTGAATTTTAATAAATTTCTAAAAATTATAATAACAATTCTTCCAAAAATTCAAAATTAGGTTTTGGAATTTTTAAATAAAATTTTTAAAAAATGGTTAAAAGTAAATAAAATTCAAAACATAATAATTTTTTAATTACTTTCAAAAATCTTCCTCATTTCAATAATTTATTTTCAATAGCTCTACTATTTTAATAAGACTAACCAAAAGAAATCAATTATTTAAAAAATTTTTTAATAAAATTGTACGCATAAAATTGTACGCCATTTAATTATTTTCATAAATAATAGAAATTTCACAGGAATTCAATTATTTACCATTTTTTTTATTAGTTTCTTCTCAATATTTAAATGATTTTCATAAATAAAAAAATCGAATTCCTTGAAAAATGTAACTATTCTTAAAAATTTTATTAAAATTAGTCAAAAGAATTCAATTGTTTAAAAATTTGTTAATAAAATTCTTTACGAGAATTCAATTTTACGAAACATTCAATTATTCAATAAATAATTTTTTTTTGTGTTTAAATAATTGAATTCTCGTAGAATTTTCTAGAAAAAATTGATTTAAAAATTAATTCAGTTCAAATTTTAGGGAATAATTGAATATGAAAATAATTTTGAAAAAGTTACAGTAACAATATTCTTATAATATAAAATAATTATTTTATCTCTCGAACATCTTTAATTATTATAAAAATGAAGATGTTTTAAATGTTTTAAAATGATATTTTAAAAGTTGTTTAATTACTAAAAGGTTTGAATTTGAAATTTTTGAATGTTTTAAATTATTAACTAATTAATTAATTAATTTTAAATGTTTTAAATTATTAATTAATTAATTAATATTAAATGTTTTAAAATAATATTTTAAAAGTTGTTTAGTTACAATAAGGTTTGAATTTGAAATTTTTGAAAATCCTAATTTCTATGGAAAAATAATAATAATTAAATATTTATTCAAAAAAGAAGTTATTGATGTTCTTGAATAATTTTTCAATTGGAGAAATTTGTTTTTTTTTGAGTAAAATTTTTTCCTTTATATTTCTAAAAATTCAAAAATTTGCATTTTCAATTAAAATTTGTAATAGACAAATAGAATTTATAAACATTTTTATCCTTTATTTAAAAAAAAAACTTTGAATTTTATTAAAAACAATTATTGTAATTAAGAAATAGAATTGAAATGGAAATCGAAGAAAATATGTCAATTATGTTCGATTTTGTTTTTAATAAAATGTATACTCTCTCAAATATTTATCTTTTCAATGATAAATTCAGCCCGGAAGTTGCATCCAGGCGGTGCGAATTAAATTCTTTGCAAGCGATGTATTTATTTTTTGTATGAAAGTGTTGTGACTCTTATTCACTATAACATTAACCGTAAAAAATTAATAAAAAATATCTTTAAAAATAACTTTAAGGGAAATGAATTGCAAACAGAAAAATTTCAGCTAAACAACATTTTCACCAAAAAAAACGTTTATTTTAAATTGAACATTTTTAAACATATAAATGGAATTTATTTCATTTAGAAATTTCTTATTTCATTCTAAACTACGCAGTAAATTAAAATCAAAATTATTAATAAAAATGAACACATTATTATTTCAGTGAAATCTTATGGAAAAATTGATAAAATAGAAAATTTTATCAATTTCCATGAACATTTTAGCGGCAATATCCAGCAACCCATCCTGGTTCTTTGTAGCAAAAACCAGAGCAACAATTTCCTTGCCTACCATCAGGTTGACATCCATCTCTGTTCCTGATACACTGGGCCCATGATGTTGGTGCCATTATTAAAATGGCAGCAATCAACATAAAGAGTCCGAAAAGTTTCATCATTTTTGGTTTTTTTACTGAAAATTGAAATATTTATGTTAAAAAAGAATAATTGTCGTCTTTTGTATAGAAAAATGAAAATTTGGTTGTATCATTATTTTTTTGCAAATTTCTAATGTAGATCTATTTAATAAAGCTTGAAAATAATTATTTTGTTGATATTTCAACTTAATTTTTAATAATAAATAATAAAACCAGATGAAAATCATTGGAATATTAATTTTTCTTAGAAATTTATTGATTTTAAAATTTATCGGTAATTTTGTAGAAAATATTCTGTTGTATCCACAAAAAATTGACGAATAAAGAAATTAATTTTTACTATTTTTAAAGCAATTTTTTTTTTTTTAAACAATGTTCCTAAGTTGAAAATACTAAAAGAATACCATTATTATCCAATTTTTGTAATTGAAAATTTATTTGTTTATTTTTAACAATTGAAAATCATAATTTCTTAAAATGAGAAATATAAAACAAAAAAAATCGGATAAAATTATTATAATTTGAAATTAGTTAATTATTAATGTATTAATTAGACTCATTTTTGTATTTAATTGTAGACAAAATTTTAGTCTGCATTATTTAGTTTTATTTGTAAAGGGCTTTTTATGCCCGTCTGTAGGGGAGAGTGGGGCAAACCGGACCGGTGGGTAAACCGGACCCCTCTCAATATTTCCGAAATGGCGAAATTGTCAAAAGTGCTATTTAGAAATTTAAAACAACCATGTTTAGTATACCTTATTTTTTCAATCTGACAGTTTTAGCTTGCGTTTGTGCGACGAAGGGAGCAAAAGTTTTTTTTTAGTTTTTTTCTACACTTTTACGAATTTTTTCTTAAGGAAATTCTGAGGAAATCAAGTAATGTTTCCAAATATTAGGTCTTAGGTTTTGAAGGTACACACCTCAGGAATATTTACCACCAAAAACTTTGATGAATTTGCAAAGCGTTTCTTTTTGACAAACATTTATTCTCAAAATGGGCCTGTGGGGCAAACCGGACCGTTTTCGGTGGGGCAAACCGGCCATAGGATATTTCCATTGAATTAAAGTTTCATAAAAATTATTTTTAAATAAAATGTTTCTTTCATTAAAACATTTAGTTACAATGAAAAATAATTGTCTTCCAATGAGAATTGGACCCTTTAATATTGTTTTTCTGATAATGACAAACATTTTCATGTTTTTATTAAAAAAAATATTTATTTAATTAAAATTCAATCCCGTATTATTATTTTCATTACTACAACCATTGTTTACATGATTTTTTATGTTTTTTATTATTGTAGATTATGTAAATGCAATATTATAAATAAAAAAGCAAACGGTCCGGTTTACCCCAGGGGGTGGGGCAAACCGGACCGTTTGCAAAATTTTTTAAAGTTAATACAGCAACTAAACAATAAAAGATAAAGTATAGGTGTCTCTGGGAAAAAGTTGCGCAATTAAATGATCTTTCAAACAAGACCTCGAAAAATGAAATCGGTTGATTTCAAATAAAAAAAACAAATTGAAGGAATAAATAATTTAATAAATTCAAAATAAAGAAAAACTTTCTTTACAGTCAATTTCTCTTCATCATTTTTTCATAAAAAAAACGTTTACAATTCTGACGTTGAATTTTGCAATTTTTTAATACACGAAAGAGGAAAAATTTTGTCTTCTATTTGTATATTTGTTTATTAACTATTTGCCAAGTTTTCGTAAAGGTACATACATGAGTTGATTTTAAATTATCAATATCAATAAAAACGAATGTTGTTAAATGGGGAAATGTACATATTTAATTTATTTGTCTCCCTTATTTTCCTCCTGATAAATTTTATGCTGTACATTTTTATTTTTCTTTCAGTATTATAAATCTTACTTGAAGAAAGTTGAAATTATTTATTTCGCAAGAAGCTGCCAATAACGTTACAATAATTGCAATAAAATCTAATACAAACTTAACGAAAAACAAAAGACTGCACAAATGACTAACTTCAAATGTGGACAGAAAGAAAGAATACCACGATTATTATAGTTAATAGTAAATTATATTAAAATAAATTAAATTTTTTTAATATCATATGATAGAGAAATGTTCATTGTTTCATTTCCAAATTCTATGTACGATAAAAAAAAAAGTATTAAAACTTTTTTCGGTGACCAATTATAAAGAGTCGTCTAAAATGTTTATTAAAGAGTCGTCTTACTGATATACAAAAAAATCATTGAGTATTAAAAATGAATCCATTAATTGTCAGCTAAAAATTAATTGTACATTTACATGATTCTTGAAAGACGAAAAAATTTTTACCATCGAAGATGAATTATCTTCGATGATAAAAATTTTTAACTTGTATTAATACCACACTCCCTTCTTTTGCAGAAAAAAGCAGAGTTACTTTTACAATTTACAAAAGTAAAAACGAAACTATTTGGCAGAAAATCTGCTCTTTATTTTTATTAATTCCGGAGTTAAATTTTTAACGCTCGAAGTACATTTAACTGCTTTTTTCTTTCCTCTACAATTATTACTCAAAGAATAAAAACACTACTAAAAAAAGTTTCTAATTTTTTGAAATTCCTCTTTTTTGGCAGCATTTCAAAAGTATTTTTGCAATTTCAATTCATTCAAAGATTCACTTTTGTTTCTATAGAACACAAAAGACATTTTTACTTCATTCAAAAATAAATTGTATTAAATTTTTTATTACTATTTTAATGGAGTGCAATTTGTTCGTTTTCGAAAACTTGGCATTTAGTTTGAAAACTTCCCTCTGAAAGAAATAGAACAGGAAATAAATTTACTTCCGAGTTCCGAACGGTAAGACGGCTGTCGGAGGAATGCCCCTCCACTGAACGCGCCTTCTTTTATAGTCGCTCGTCCGCTGTTCGTTCATTGGCTCTCGGGCGCAGTGGAGGGGATAAAGCGCAGGCGCCGTTTCTCGGGAAAGCGGGACCGAGTTGCGCGGTACCGACTGCGCACTTCTTTCCGCTCAGTTTACAATTCTAGTTCTAATTCTAAGCGTCAGCACAAAGTGTATTAAATTTTCCCTCTAATTTAAAATTTTTGTTTCTTATTACTAAAGATAGAAAATAATATGCTAGTAACAAAAAATGGATCAGCAAAAGGAACAATTTCGTTTTAAATCAATTGAAATAACAATTTATTAATGTTCAACACTTGATTACATCTTTAAATTTTTGAAAATAATATTTGGATTTTAAATTTAGTCAAAGGAATGGTACTTTCAAAAAATACCACGCGAGACTAAAGACGAATGTTACAATTTTAAAAAAATACATTTTTGAAGAAGGATTTTTTGGAAAATTCGCATTCGAATTATCTGCAGTATCCAGCGACCCATCCTGCTTCCTTATAGCAATTACCAGAGCAACAGGTTCCTTGACTTCCGTCAGGTTGGCAACCGTTCCTGTTGGCAATACACTGAGCCAAGGTTGTTGGTGCCATTAACAAAATTGTTGCAATGAACACGAAGAGTCCGAAAATTTTGCAGCTTATCATTCTTTATTTTCTTCAACTATAAATGCAAAAAGAAAAATAATTTTGTTTTTTATTTTCGAACTATCTAGTTATTTTTTTCAGTTATTTATACTAAAATTAGTTTTCTTATTAAGGTTTTTAACTAAAATTAGGTGGCCTAGGGAGATCTGTATCCCTTTTGACCTTTTAGGGTCTAAACTAAAATTACAGAAAAAATAATTGTAAAATTTTAGTTTAGGGTCTAAACTAAAATTACAGAAAAAAAATTGTAAAAATACTTAATCTGCATTGTAAATAACCATGTTTTGCAATAAATCTCTTCCAAAATGGAATATTTAGATCTTTTTGTTAATTAAGAATTGTGTGTATGTAAATTGTTACTTACATCAACTGTAGAACACGATTGCAGTAAAAGGGACTGAATTGTAAGTACCTACTTTAGAATTCAACATGGTTTTTATACGAATAGAATAAATTGGTCACTGTTTTTGCTGAAACAACTGAACCAACAAAATGATGAAAACTAAGATAAGATGCGTTATGTCCAGTAATTGAGTTTATATTTATTTATCAAACAGTTCGCCAGTGGGTCAAACAATTTTTTTTTCTGATAAAAATTGTTACCTGGATAAGAATTATTGATATATTATTACCAAAAAAAATATATTGAGAAGATCATGGAGGTGTGTAGGAAACATCTTATCATCTAGGGTAAGTCCGGGGGAGATGGCCAGTTCGAATATTTTACAGAATTTGTAAAGAAATATCACTTTTTATGGGTTATTCTTCAACCTTTTGTGATTAATAATAAATCTAAAGAATAATTTGATGAAAAATAATGAAGCTGTAAGTGTAATCCTTGTTTATTGTTTTTGCATGGGTCCAAAATAATTTGAAAATTTCAGATTTCTTGTTGCTATATTGTTATTTGTTAACATAATTTTTAAATTTAAGTTTTATTGAGTAGTGTATAACCCACGCTTCGATATAAACGAAAAATGAAAGGAAAAATTATTTTATTTATTTAATATTTTGATGTTTACTTTTATCATGAATTTTTGGGTAAGATGGCCATTAATGACTTTTATTTAAAATTTTTTTATGTTAATGTTAGATACTTGAGAAATATTAAAGAAAAGCAAATTAAAAATGTCTGAGAACAAAATAATTGATCTAATTGACACCAGAGATGGAGATTTATTTGTAGGTTGTGCTAAAAGTTACAACCGAACGACATTAATTGAAGATTGAATTCAATGCAGAATTTGACACTTGTGGCTACATGAAAACTGCTCTGAACCCCATGAAAAATTTTCAAAATGCGACCAGAAAAAGAGGAAAGTGATGTGAACGATTAAAAATTAAATTTAAGATAAAAGCCAAAAATTATAGGTAGTGGCCATCTCACCCGGACATTCCAGAGAAATGGCCAAATGCACTTTTTCGAAAATGCAAATTTTAAGATTGTTGCAATGAAAATATTTTATTTTATGTTTCTTTATTTTCAAGTTAAGTGTGCAATGTTTAATTATCAATAAAAGTTTAAACAAAAAAAGCTTTTTTATCAATTTTACACTACTTTAAAATAACTATGGCCATCTCCCCCGGACTTACCCTATTAAATATTTTTACATTTGTCAACGTCAGTTTTCAAATACAAATAAGAGTTTTGTTTTATCTTTGTACAAGTACTTGTAACTATGTAAATGTTTGTTAAAAATTTGTTCATGAAGATACGTAAAAATTACTTAATTTTAATTATTCTACTTATTTTGTTTATTACAGTAAAATTTCAGGGTCGCCACTGGTCAGAAAAATCAGAGAAGTCAGGGAAAGTTAAATTGATCAGGAAAATTACTGAAATGTCAGGGACTTTCATCAAGTGTTGAAAAAATTTCAAAATTTTAAAATTTACAATAAAAATTCTGGTTTTTGATGTCTAAAAACTTTTCTGAAAAAAAATTATTCAATTTTTGTTCACCTTAAAAATTTCTGAATAACAATAATTTTTGAAAACAATACCTTAATTTTTTCATATTTTCAAATAATTGGAATTTTTAATAGTTAAATTCTAGAAGTACTTTACTTACAGTTATAAACTAAAATTTTTTGAAGCTTCAATTGCTTTGAAGACATTTATACTAATTAATTATTTATTTTAAAAACTTTTTAAGTGGAAATTTTTTTATAATAAATTATTAAATTAAAATAAATTCTTATAAAATTGTGAAGAAATAAGGTTAGATTTAAAAAAAATTTATTATAAAGAATTCATATTGAATTTCTAAATTAATTACAATTTTTTGAATCATTTGAAAATAATTCAATTTATTAAAGAATTTTATTAGAAACTTTTTAAAAAATCGAATATTTTCAAAGAATTTTAAGGGGAAAGTACACCAATATTTTTAATAATATCAAGAAAAAAATTTTAATATTCAAATAAAATTGATATTATAGTTATTTTTTGAGAGGAATTCAATGGGCATAAAATAAAATCGGGCAAAAAATATTTCAATCCTTTTTGAATTTTTATTCTTTTAAAAGTTGGTTATTTTTTAAATACATGCGTAATGTGGTAATCCACAAAAAAATTGCTAAATGAAAAAATTGATCTTTACAATTTTTGAAGCATTTCTTTTAACTTTATTTTTAGACTGAAAATGATAAAAAATACCATTGTTATTCAATTTTTTTTTATTTGGAAATTCATTTGTTTATTATTTTAAACAATTAAATTAACTAACTTCAAATCATAATTTTTTTTAAATAAGAAATATAAAACAAAAAAATATAATAAATTTATGATTTGAAGTTACTTAATTTAATTGTTTAAAATAAACAAATGTATTTCTAAATAAACTAATTGAATAACAATTTTTTTTTAGCATTTTCAGTCTAAAAGCAAAGTTTAAATAAAGAGCTTTAAAAATTGTAAAAATTAATTTCCTGTTCGACAATTTTTTATTAAAATACAAAAACATATTTTCTACAAAATTACTAATGGATTTTTAAATCTGTCAATTCTTTAGAAAAATAAAATTTCAAAAATAGTCAAAATATTTTCTTTCCCCTTTTAATTTATGACTTTTGAATTCCTGTCAGAAAAATACTATACAAATAATTGTATGGAATATTTAAATTATTTTCTTAACATAATTAAAAATATCTGTATGCCCTCCTGTTAATTTAATATTTGGTATGGTAAAAAATTGAATTTAATAAAGAGTCATATTTGAATATGTATTCACATACGTTTGTTATTGTAAATAATTAGCATCAAAGGTACAAATTTCATTTGACTTGATGTAATTTCGAAAGAGCCGGCAATTAAAATTTTTATTTATTAATTATACTTTAAAAAAAATATAATTTGAAATTGTTTTAAAAATCAAAATTTCTAAAATTTCTTTTGAAAATTCTATAGAATTTTAGAAAATAATTGAATAATAGAAGTGTTATAAGAGAAATTTTAATAATTAATTAAATATTAAAATGTTTTTTAAAATTGAAATCTTTGAAAATTTCAATCACTGTAAAAATATATAATGTGTATAATAATATTTGAATGTTTATTATAAAAAATAATTAACATAATGTTTTTCAAGTAAAATTATTAACGTTTTCGTTTTGAATAATTTTATTTAAAAATTTTACAAAATAATTGAATTTTGAAAGAATTGGAATTGTAATTTTTAGAAATAATTAAATTTGAAAGAATTATAATATTTTATAGGTACATTGAAATTATTTGAAATTTTAATTCATGTGGATAAATAAATATCAAAATGAGTATAAGAATTAAGTATTAATTTGATAAATGTTTTGAAGTTTTGAATAATTTTATTTAAAAATTCTGAAAAAATTATGTTTTTTTAAAAATATTTTTATTTTAATTGTAAACAATTTTTTGTATATCTACTATAATGGGGGATAAATTATAAACAAAAAAGCACGTCAAAATTGAAATTACCACCAAATATATTTATTTCAAATTTAATATTTTTCCTTAGACTGATAAATTTTTACAATTCCTTACTTTTGAAAGTATAAAGTATAATCAAAATGCATACCTAATAAAAATAAACATTTTTGTAAAAAAACTTCTTAAAAATTCGTAAAATGAGATATTTTTATGTTTTTATGAACACTTTAACGGCAATATCCAGCAACCCATCCTGGTTCCTTGTGGCAATAACCAGAGCAACAATTTCCTTGACTTCCATCAGGTTGACATCCGTTCCTGTTGGCAATACACTGGGCCAAAGATGTTGGTGCCATTATTAAAATGGCAGCAATCAGCATAAAGAGTCCGAAAAGTTTCATCATTTTTGTTTTCTTTTTACTAAAAATTCAAAGATTAGTGTAAAACAATTTTGTTATCTTTTGCGTAGAGAAAAATAAAAACTTTTTGTTTTTGTTGTAATTTTTTTAAAAATCCACTAAAAGCGATTTTACTTTTTACAATTTTATAATTTATTTTGTAAAATATTTTATAAAAATTTATTTGTGACGCGCTTCAGAGAAGATAGCTAAAAGGAAAAAAAATTGAGTTTATGTTCGTAATTTTTAGAATAAAAATACAGAAAGGGGATAGACTCTTAATATAAATCACTAATATTTTAGTCTTCATCATATCTAAAATAATTCATAAAAATTGATTTTCGTTTTAAATTAAAAAGAGAAGGTTTTAATTATGGGATAAATAATACAAACATAACCTTAAAATATTTTGCTTCTTAGGTTCCTTTTTTCGGAGCATGTCAAATATTTTATGTGGTTAAGTTAAAATTATGTGAAAATAGTTTTTTAATTTTTTATTTAATCTAAAACTCGAAACTATTTGTAAAATTGAAATAATGTTACTGTTAATATGTTAATTTTATTAAAAAAAATTTTAATTAAACTTATTAATGGTAATTTGATCAGAGTTTGGAAAATACTTACAAAAAATTGAGCTGGACTTTAATTTAACTTGATCGAAGGATCGAACGTATAAATGAATATGCTTACTTCGAAATTGTTAACGATTTTTATACTCGAGAATCAGATTAAAAAGTGTCAAAAAAACAAGTGTAATAATATTTTCTTTAATGATAATTGAAAAACAATTTTCCTTCTCCTTATAATAATTGTGCAATTATTATTGTCATAATTTCATTACTTTACCAATGAGGTTATTATTTTCAAAATAATTTCACGAAAGAATTTAATTTTTTTCTTAATTCATTAATAAAATCTTTTCAAAAGAATTCAATCATTTTCTAAAATTTTAATAAATTTTTCCAAACAATTCAATTTTATTTAGAAATAGTACAATTCTTTGCAAAAATTCAATTATTCCCCAATACAATTTTAATAAATCCTTCGATACAATTCAATTTTTTTTATAAATAGTAAAATTCTTTGCAAAAATTCAATTATATTCAAAACAATTTCACGAAAGAATTTAATTTTTTTCTTGATTCGTTATAAAAAATTTCAATAGAATTCAATTATTTTCTAAAATTTTAATAAATTCATCAAACCAATTTCAATTATTTTTCTAAATATTTAATATTTTATTTTTCTAAATGTAAAATTCAATTATTTTCAAAAAAATTTCACTAAGGAATTCAAATTTTTTTTCTTACTTCGTTATAAAAAAATTTAATAGAATTGAATTATTTTCCAAAATTTAAATAAAATTCAATAATTAAATGTTTAATTTCAATTATTAAACACGAAACAAAAAAGCAAACAACAACTAACTTTAAACTGCGAACAGATTACCAGAATGCAACGATTATTAATAATAATTAATAATATATATTTGATTTAAGGAAAAAATAATTAAAAGATACAATATTTTCATTTTTTTTTTGACAATGTTTCGATGGACTGGTTCGCCATCATCACCAGGTCTCGAATAATAAAATTACATAAACACTTGGTCAAAATATTAAAAATATTTAAAATATAAATTATTTTAAAGAGATTATTAATTATATATTATAGTATTTTGTAAATTACTTTTTTAAGTTAATTAATTTTTGTAAAATCAATTTATCTTTGTAATTTTTTTTTATTTTCTTCCTTTTTTATATTTTTATTTTTCTTTGTTTATATTTTTTTATCATTGTATTCAAAGAAAGAGGATAAAAATAAAGAAATTTTGTTTATTTTGAGTATACTTTATTTTAAGATATTACAGTCAATTTTTGAAAATTAAAATTTATTCAAATTTTCAAATAGTTATAATTATTATTAATATAATTTAAAATTTAACGAACTAAATTTTTGGAAAAAAAGTAAAGAAAGCAAATAATCCATCGGTTATTTTCCATTTTGAATTTCAATTAGATTTTTTTTATAATTTCAACGGCAATATCCAGCGACCCATCCTGCTTCCTTGTAGCAATTACCAGAGCAACATCTTCCTTGACTTCCGTCAGGTTGACAACCGTTCCTGTTGGCAATACACTGGGCCAATGTAGTTGGAGCCATTATCAAAATTGTCGCAATGAACACGAAGAGTCCGAAAATTTTGCAGTGCATTTTGTTTTTCTTTGACTAAAATTTCAAAAAAATTTAGGAACTAAACTGTTTTCTTTACTTTGGTAAATAATATAAATGATATAACTGTTAAAAACACATGTTTTCTTTACTGTCAAAAAGCAAATTTTATTTTCGCTATTTTTCTTCATATTTTTTTTAATGGGAGATTGCGATTACATTTTTAACTATATCATAAAAATTATTTAAATCTTTAATAAAATTATTTTTATAGTAATTTTTTAGATGAATTCAATATGGTCATAAAATATTCTCACCCTTTTTGGATTTTTATTTTACTTAAAAATTTATAGATTTTCAAATCCATCCGTAATTTTGTAGAAAATATGTTTTTTTATCTTTGAAGCAAATACCGAGAAAGAAAAAAATATTCATTTTTACAATTTTTGAAGCATTTTTTTGAAAAAAAAGTATTAATTTTTACAATTTTTAAAGCATTTTTTTGAAAAAAAAAATATTAATTTTGATTGAAAGTGGCAAAAAATATCATTGTCATACCATTTTTTTTTATATGGAAATTCATTTGTTTATGCTTCTAACTAATTTCAAATTATAATTCTTAAAAATTGTCAAGTACAACTAAAAAATATAAAAAATTATGATTTGAAATTAGTTAGAAAAAAATTAAGTGTGTTTCCATAAAATAATATTATAAAACAATGGTATTTTTTAGCATTTTTAACTTAAAAAAAATGTTTTTTAAAAAGAAAATGCTTTAAAAATTGTAAAAATTAATTTTTTCATTCGGCATGAAAATAGAAATGCAAAAAGTGTCAGGATATTTTCTGACCATTGATTTCCTTTCAAAAAATTACTAAAAAAATTTTATGGAAGATTTAAATAATTTTTTTATGATATACTTTAAAATATAATCAATGCCTCCCCTTAAAAACTTTATTATTTAATAAATAATAATAAATAATAATATATTTTTTATTTTTTACTTTTAAACTTTACAGATAGTATTTTTATATTATTCCTCTAGAATTTCTGTAGTATTTTCTATAGTATTTCTATAGTATTTTTTATAGTATTTTTATAGTATTTCTATAGTATTTTTTATAGTATTTCTATAGTATTTTTTATAATATTTTCTGTAGTATTTTCTATTGTATTTCCTATAGTATTTTCTATAGTATTTCTATAGTACATCTATAGTATTTTTTGTAGTATTTCTATAGTATTTTCTATAGTATTCCCTCTAAATTTGAATCATTTAAAAATCATAGTTTTAACTGACAATCAGTGACTGATTTTTTTCTTCTAAATCAGTTATTTTTAACCGATTCAAATTTAGACAGTTTTTATAGTATTTTCTATGGTATTTTCTACAGTTTTTTCCACAGTATATTCTATTGTATTTTAAAAATATTTTTTTAGTATTTCTAAAGAACAGATCTCAAAATTCTGATTATTTGAGAAAAGGCAAATTTCAAAATCTCTTATACTTACAAGTAAGAATAGAACAAGTTTACAGTAAGAAGAACTAATGTGCTTATTATTAATTGAAATGTGCTTTATATAGTAATAGAATCTACTTGAGAAAAAAATGTTTGTTTTTCCTAAAACAATAGAAACAGCAAAAATGACACAAAATGATAAAAGAATTTTCCTCCAGAAATTAGTTTACTGTTTACCATTTTTTATTGACTCAACACTGTTTCACTGGGTCAATGACAAGTTTTACGCAAAAATGAAATTATTTGGCAAATTATCATTTTGCCGAACGAATTAAAAAGAAAAAATATTATTAGAATGATAAATATAATGAAGTAAAAACATTATTTATACACTAAATCAATATGGTGTAGGAAACTTCTTATCATCTATTAAATGTTTTTTCCTCACGTACGTCAATACCAATCACGTATAAAAACCCCGTTGCAACTTTAAGAAAGTACTTACATTCAGATCGTCAACACTCACTGTAAGTAATTTTCAACTTTTAAATCCAACTTTAAAACTTAATTTTCTTTCATTTAAAAAAAGTGATTTTTTTAATATAAGTTTTTTTCATACATTTTTCTATTTTTTTTTCAATAAAAAAATATAAAATAATATATAAATAAATGTTTCTTTTAATTTTTTACTTATTTAGTTGAAAGTTAAAAAATATATATTTTTTTGTTAAAAAATTTAATGTGTAAAAAATGTAATTGTAAAAAATAATAATTCACTGTTCGTATAACAATATTTAATTGAAATGTATTAAAATTTTCAGTAAAAAAACCAAAAATGATGAAACTTTTCGGACTCTTTATGTTGATTGCTGCCATTTTAATAATGGCACCAACATCAATGGCCCAGTGTATTGCCAATAGAAACGGATGTCAACCTGACGGAAGCCAAGGAAGATGCTGCTCTGGTTTCTGCTACAAGGAACCAAACTGGGTTGCTGGATATTGCCGTTAAAATTTCAAAAAAAGCCGGATTCTTGTGAAAAAAATAACATTTATTCACCTTTTTTACATTTTTTGAAAAAATTCATTAAATACCTAAAACAATTCACAGTTTTCTTGAAAGCATCAAATTGATACTAAAATAGATCAAAATGATGGAAAAAATTTAGATCAATTTTTTATTTGATCCACATTTTTTGGTATCAATTTGTTGCAATTTGATACTTTTAAGTTAACAGTGATTTGAATATATTTTAAAATTTTTAATTTCAAAAATTTGTTTCCTACGGCAAAAAACTATTGTTAAAATTACATCAGAAATAAACAAATTTGGTTGTAATTTCGTTTCTTTAAATTTTTACCCACATTTATATTTATCGAATTTTACATCCTATAATTCCTTGTTTAGTGAAGTTATTTTTGAATTTATAATTATTACTGATAATTAAACTCGAAATATTTTCGAACAAAAAAAGTACGTGGTTTAGAAAGAATTTAATTTCTCCGCCTGGGTTAAAATTCCTGACTAAATTTTATTCAATTCATCCATTTCATTTGGGTTCAAAACTTCTAGTAGATAAATTTGAAATAGTACATTTTTGTTTGTAAACATTCCGAAGATGATGGGCATTTTTTAAAACTGAAATATCCACTTTGGGAAAAATTGTTTGTTGTTTTTCCGAGAGCAACTGAAACAGCAAGATAAGAAGTTTCCTCTCGAAATTAAGTTATTGTTTACCTTTTTTTTGTACCAGACATTGTTTCAGAGGGTTAATCGCATGTTTATGCAAAACGAATTTTTTTTCTCGAAATTATTATTTTACCGAGAAATTAAAGAGAAAAATATATTAAGAAAGACAAATAATAAGCAACAATGTTTTGCACTAAATCAATATATGTTGTGGGAAACTTTTTATCTTCTATTAAATGTTATTTGCAGGTCAATATTTATTTTTTGTTTATTGCACGTCAATATGAATTACGTATAAAAACCTCGTAACTCTAAGAAACTACTTATTCTTTAAACCGTCTTTTAACTAATTATCATCATCATTAACACTCGGTAAGTAATTTCTAACTTTGATCATAGTTGAACATTAAAAAATATTTAGACTGAAATTCAGTTATTAACAATTGTAATAAATAATAATTCACTATTTAGAATAGTTTGGCTAAATTATATTAAAATTTTTAGTGGAAAAAAAATAAAGATGATGAACTGCAAAATTTTTGGACTCTTTATGTTGATTGCTGCAATTTTAATAATGACACCAACAACATTGGCCCAGTGTATTCGTAGCAGGAAGAGATGTGAACCTGACAGAAGTTGGACTGACGGCGGAAGAAATAATGGACTCTGTTGCTCTGGTTTTTGTAGCAAACAACTAAATTGGGAACCTGGTTATTGTCAATAAAAATAAGTTTTAAGACACTTATATTTTGGATATTCTGAAAATCATTTAAAAAAAAGTTGATTAAAATTTATTCCAGTAATATTTTATGTATAATTTTTTCATTCCTCAGAACACGTTGATTTATAATAGTTTAAGAGTATTTCTAAATTATTGAAGTATTTTATTAATATTATCAACAAGAGTCAATAATTAATATTGTTTACCTCCGAGTTCCGAACGGTAAGACGGCTGTCGGAGGAATGCCCCTCCACTGAACGCGCCTTCTTATATAGTCGCTCGTCCGCTGTTCGTTCATTGGCTCTCGGGCGCAGTGGAGCGGATAATGCGCAGGCGCCGTTTCTCGGGAAGGCGGGACCGAGTTGCGCGGTACCGACTGCGCACTTCTTTCCGGTCAGTTTACAACTCTAGTTCTAATTCTAAGCGTCAGCACAAAGTGTATTAAATTTTCCCTCTAACTTAAAATTTTTGTTTCTTATTACTAAAAATAGAAAACAATATGCCAGGATAAAAAAATGGACCAATACAAGGAATATTTTCATTTTAAATCAATTGAAACAACAATTTATTCTTGGCGAACACTTGATTACATTTTTAAATTATTGAAAATACAATTTGGAATTCAAATTTAGACAAAAGAATGGTACGTTTAAAAAATACCACACGAGACTAAAAACGAATGTTATAATTTGGAAAAATACATTTTTGAAGAAGGATTTTTTGGAAAGTCGCATTCGAATTATCTGCAGTATCCAGCGACCCATCCTGCTTCCTTGTAGCAATTACCAGAGCAACATCTTCCTTGACTTCCGTCAGGTTGACAACCGTTTCTATTGGCAATACACTGGGCCAAGGTTGTTGGTGCCATTATCAAAATTGTTGCAATGAACACGAAGAGTCCAAAAATTTTGCAGCTCATCATTTTTGATTTTCTTTGACTAAAAATGCAAATTGCATTTTACTATTATCTTAATGTGGTAATAAAAATTTTATCGTAAAAATACCAAGTATATTGTTAACATTATTCAGGGTTTGAAGCAGTGAAAGTATTTAAATTATTATTGAAAATTTTAACTGAAATTCATTTTCAAATCAATTTTTAATAAAAAATTCAAGTGGAATTCAATTATTTAAATAAAAAAAAATAATTTATTGAATAATTAAATGTTTCTGAAAATTGAATTTTTATAAAGAATTTTATCAACAAATTTTTAAATAATTTAATTCTTTCGACTAATTTTAATAAAATTTTAAAAAATAATTACATTTTTCAAGAAATTTGTTTAAAATTGTATTAAAAATACTTGAAATTCTGCAAAAAGTTTTATTATTTGTGAAAATAATTAAATCCCTGTAAAAACATTATTATTCATTAAAATAATTGAATTATTGCGAAGAAATTCATAAAAAATTTGTAAATACATAATTGAATTCTTGTGAAATTTTTATTATTTATGAAAATAAGTAAATTTATTTAAAATAATTTAATTCTTTTAGAAAATTCTATTAAAATAGTAGATATTGAAAATCATTGAATTGTAGACAATTTTTTAAAAGAGTTAAAATTTTGCCAATTTTTAAAATTAAACGTTTTCTAAATTCAAGTATTTCTAAAAATTTATCCTAAAATGCTCTTAATATTCAATTATTATATAAAATTTTAACTAAAATTCAATTTTAAATAAATTTTTATTAGAAAATTCTACTGGAATTGAATTAATGAAATATAAATTTTAATATAATTTATTAATTGAATGTTTCTTAAAATTGAATGCTGGTAAAGAATTTTATCAAATAAAATTTAAATAAGTAAATTCTCTCGACGAATTTTAATAAAATTTTAAAAAATAATTACATTTTTCAAGAAATTTGTTTAAAATTGTATTAAAAATAATTGAAATTCTGCGAAAAGTTTTATTATTTCTGAAAATAATTGAATCCCTAAGAAGAATTTTATTATTTTTAAACATAATTAAATTTCTGCAATAATTTGTAATGAAGAAAAATAATTTATTAAATAATTGAATGTTTCTTAAAATTCAAATCTCATAAATAATTTAATCAATAAATTTTTTTTATCATTGAATTCTTTCGACGAATTTTAATAAAATTTTTAAGAATAATTAAAAGTTTTGAGGAATTTGATTAAAATTGTACATTAAAGATAATTGAAATTCTGCAATGAATTTTATTATTTATGAAAATAATTGAATTCCTAAAAAAACATTTTATTATTTACGAAAATAATTGAATTCCTGTAAAAATTTTATCATTTATGAAAATAATTGAATTTTCGCGAAGAAATTGAATGCCTGTGAAATTTTTAGGGGAGAGTCTCCAGTTGTGAGACACCTCCAGTTGTGAGACAGTCAATTTTTTTTAACATGCAATATTAAAAAGCCGATTGGTTTATATAAAAACATTTCTTTTTATATGAGCCAACTATTTCGTGTACACCGAGGCGGATATATAAACTGTTTTTGTTAAATACCAACACTGTGTGTGATAATCGACTAAAAAGCGTTTTTTCAATAAATGCAAAGTACTTTTTTTGCAATTTAATTAATTGAAAAAGGTAAATGTAATGCATTTTCTTTTAGTGTTTTCCTTATATTTTGTGATGCAATATTGCATTGTTCCAATCTGCGGTTGAAAATAATTTAATTTTCCTTTTTCAAAATAGCGCCAATTTCTGGGTGTGAGACACAGCATATCACCAGTTGTGAGACGGTGTCAACACCCATCTGGGCAGCATAAAAAATACTACTTTGCAGGCATACTATTTAAATGTTGTTTTGATTCTTTTTTCTAGTATTTTTGGGCATGTCAAGTGGAAAAAAGTCAATTGATTTAGAAGAAATCAATTTTAATGCTCTTGTTGAAGCTATTAAATTGTGTTTATTTGATAGTCATATTTTGGCAAATAAATATTATTATTTAGTATATAATAATATATATTATTAATATATTTAATTATTTCTACTAAACATAACGTTTTATGTCAAACTTATTAAATTTTAGCAATTTTTAATGAGTGTCTCACAACTGGAGACATTTTTTTTTTTTGAAAAAAGCGATGTGTTCGGAAAATGTATCGTAAAATTTTTTGAGTTCATCGAAACACTATACTTTCTTTTAATAAAAGTTGCGTATTTCTGTTACCTTTCGATCGGTGTATTTTATTTACAATTTCGTTTGCCCGTTTACAATTTACGGGTCAAAAATGAAACCCGTCTCACAACTGGAGACTCTCCCCTATTATTTTATGAAAATAATTAAATATTTACCCAGAATTTTATTAAAATTTTTGAAAATAATTGAATTTCGGAAAAGAATTTTATTTATTTCTGCAATAATTTGTAATTTCTATAAAATTCTCCAAATTATATCGTACAATTTACGAATTTTTCGTCCTTTTCTCAATTAAAATACAAATTACGGACTTTACGGACCTTTTTTCAAAAAAAGGGTCAATAAATTTAAGAAAAATTTTTTTTTTTTAAAAAGAGTATTTTTAGCAAAAATATGAATAAAAGTAAATTACTTACATCAAGTGAATACTAGATCGCAGTTAGAAGAAGTGAATTCCAAGTACCATGGGTATGATTTTTATACTAGAATCGAGTGAGAAAATTGATTCTCCCGAAGCAACTGAATCAACAATATGACGAGAACAAATATATTTGTTCTTTTGTCCAGAAACTAAACAATTGTTCGTTCACTTTATTTATCGTAAACACTGTGTCAGTGGGTTGAACAATTTTTTCTTCACTAACTTATCACTGAATTTAGATAAAAAAAATACAAAAAAAATGTCCTGCATTCAATACGAGTACATATGTGTGTACAAGATTATATCAAGAAGGATGTGAAGAAAATTTCTTATCATCAATTAAATGTTATTTCCTCTACGTCAGTACAAATAGTTCCAAATGCTTCAAACTTTATAAAAACTCCCTTTAGATTCGAAGAGAAAAGTTTCTTATTGAGTTTCTTCTGAAATTTTCTCGAATCATTGTAAGTTAATTGTACTATAGACGAAAATTCAATCTTTTCGAAAAATATTTTTTAAACTGCTACTAGAATTTTCAGCATACTTTGCTAATTTTTTTTCTCTATAAAATCAGGGGAGTAAGTTTTTTATTTTAACTTTTTATTGGATTTTGCCATTGACATTCACTTTTTAACAATCACTTTAGAATTCACTTTGACTTTGGCTTTGAACTTCACTTTGACTTCCTCCTTCACCTTCACCTTCACCTTCACCTTCACCTTCACCTTCACCTTCACCTTCACCTTCACCTTCACCTTCACCTTCACCTTCACCTTCACCTTCACCTTCACCTTCACCTTCACCTTCACCTTCACCTTCACCTTCACCTTCACCTTCACCTTCACCTTCACCTTCACCTTCACGTTGAAGGTGAGGGTGAAGGTGAAAGTAAAAGTCAAGATTAAAGTCAAAACAAAAGTCAAAGTTAAAGTGAAAGTAAAATTCAAGGTTAAAGTTAAAATAAACGTGAAAGTGAAAGTGAAAGTGAAACTTCATGTTGAAGTCAAAATAGAAAAGTCAATGTTAAAAGCAAAACCAAACGTCAGTTTTAATTTATATTGAGTAAAGAATTTTTCCAAGAGAAAATTTTTCATACTCTTTACAAATACATGAATATTTTAAATTTGAATTTCTTGCCGAGAGTTGTGTTTTTCTTTCTGTTTATAATCCACACAGGAATGGTAATTAATGTCATTGTTCAGGTGAAATTATTATTTTACGAAAGAAGTGAAGTATGAGGAGTATATTTAAATCTCTATATAAATTACAAGTGTCACGAATGAAACCACTACACGAAGTTAAGTCAAACTTTACTCAAGTTTCGTTGTACTTTAGAAATGAGGGTGTCGCTTCTAGACCAATTTATGTTATCGCGTGTATATTGTCTGAAAACAGTTTACTGTTTGTATGTGTGTATGTGTATGTGAATATAACTCTATAAAACAAAAAAGACCTGACAATGATTTTATTACTTGTTGCTCCAAAACGTTTTGACACTTGCATTAAATGTATTTCAAAAAAACAATTTTTCTCGTTTATTTCCTGTTTAAAGAGAAATAATCGTTTATATTCAAAATGACTTTTAATTCATTTAACAATTAGTCGTCCGTTTGAAAAAAAAAATTGTCACCGTTTTTTTTGCGTATTTTAAAAAAAATTTGTAAAGAGAAAAAAATGAATAAATTTATTTACGTTTTTATTTACTTATCATTAAATAAAAACGTAAATAAATAAAAAATTGATTAGACATTAATAGCTTTAATTTGTCCCAGGTGATTTATAAATAAATAAATTTTTTAAATAAATATATGAAAGTGAATGAATAAAATTATCGGTAACTAGGAAAACGAGTTAGATCCTCGTTGAAGCCCTAGTTAACCTACAGCAAACACTTTAAAAATGCGAATTATCCCCCCGAAGAAATAAAAACAAGGAAAATTTTCTCGCACTTTAGAAAAATATGAAATGTTTGCAGTTTTTTTTCTTATTTAATTTCCTTGATGCATTTAAATACTCTGTTCTTTTTCGGAAAGAATTCAGTGCAACGGTAATCTTCACTAGAGACAACTTTAGCCAGCGAGTAAAATATTTTTATTTTTTCTCCTTCAAAATTTTTTCTAATTCTTATTTTATATTCACAAATATTTTAAGAAGAAAACTATACATTTTTTTCTTAAAATGTTTTAATTTTCAAAAAATTTATTTTTCATTTTTTACATTAATTTTTTTTTTATTTTTTCTAGTTTTTGTCTAATCATTCGCTCTTTGTAAAGAAAGTTCGCGATAGTGACAAAAACAATTGTTTTTTTTATCTATTGTTTGGCAAAAAATAAATTGAAAAATATTGAATTTTTAGAAATTTGAAATTCTTTTTCTTTTATGGATTCTTCTATCAGTGTATGTAGGCGATTGTTTTTTTTTTGGAAAAAAGTGTCTATTGTTTGAGAAAAATATTGATGATATTGAATTTAATAGGTGGAGGCAGGACATAAAATGGCAGGCTTCAAATTCTACAGCCTATTGTTGCTATTGATTGGAGTAATTTTAATGATGGCTTCGCCGGCAATTTCACAACCGAGATGTCTCCAAACTGGACTTGGATGTCAGCCTTGGGCATGGCCTCCATGTTGTACGGGAAATTGTTATAAAGAAGAAGGATGGGTAGCTGGAGTTTGCCGATAATAATTATCTATTAAAACTCAAAATAAGGTTTTATTAAAATTTTTCACTTTTAAAATTTTCAAATATGAATCAGATCGAATTTTTTTTCTTTAAATTCTAAATTATATTCAACGTTGTAAATTTTTATTTCAAATTTATCTTAATGTAGAATAAAATTTTCTTTATGTCTGAATATGTAAAAGAAATAAAAAATTGTTTTTAATGCAAAATTATTTATAATGGAATATTATTTGTAATTACCTAACTAAATAACATTTATGAATGTAATCACACTATTTCTGAGATATTTAACATGAAGAAAATGAAACTGCAAATAATGACTTTAATGTATCGTTTTCATCAAAGCAGAAGGCCAACAATAGCGGCTATGGTATTGAAACTTCAATAAATATTGAAACAAGACATCTTTACCCCATTGTTTCATGTGACCTGATTTATGCAGATACCAAAACCCGAAGGCAGTTTCTGTTTTGTAAAATGGAACGTAACCACGATCCAAGACCCAAAGGGTTTTCCCCTTTGATTAATTATAATGTGAAATTAGAATTCCTGCTTTTTTTTCTTCTTCTTGTACAAAATCGATTTCTTTTTTGTCCCGCATTTTTATTAGTCGTGTAAAAAATTTGTCAACGCTTCAAAAAATACATAAAACAATTACTTTTTTATGTAATTTTTAAATATCGTTTTTTTTCGGAATAGTAGTGAAACAATTTATTAGGACGTAAAAGTTTATTCAATGTTTATTTTTTATACCATTTTTTATATATTTATTTTCCGTATACATTTTTTTATAATTTTTGTTTTTTATAGGGGAACATAGTCACGGTTGGACCTTCGTCAAGGTAGGATCCCCACTATTTTTTAAATAAGAAGTATAACCTCACCTTGATTATATAAGGCCCAACGTTGACTACATTTTTTTGAAATACTTTGATTTTAGTAAAAAATATAATTCACATTTAAGTTTCAGGTTCAAATTTTGAAATTCAATAAAGTGAAACGTAAGCTGTACATTAAATGGATTATTAACTTATTACTTAAAAGGTTTTACTGATAAATAATTATTTTAATTATCTTTTTTGGGAATAAACTAAAAGATAAGCTTGATGAAAGGCACGCCCATGTGGCTCTAGTGATAGTACAAATATTGATTGTTATGTTTATGTTTAACAATTAACTTTATGATTATTATCTTATCATTCTTTTAGAAAACTATTGACTCTATCTTTAGTATTTAAGGACAGATATTGTTTATTTGTTTATTCTAATTAACAAGTGCAAATGATAAGCTGTGTGTTTATCAAAATATGTAAATGGTATGAAGGAATTGCCAATTAAACTCACAAAGAATTAATTTTAGCACCTGTGTTCAATCTGACACTATGTGTCACCAGATGTTCCTTTTATTTCTTTTATTCTGATTTTTCTTTACACTTTGATTATTTAATTTAACACATCAACCAGTTTCATTGGGTAACAACCAATTACAAAATTTCAATGACATTAAATTTTAAAAAGTAATAATACAGTCTATAAGAAAGTACATCTTTCGTCAAGAATCAAATGTCGTAGATCATTTTCAAATTAAATTCTTCATGTCTAGCTTTTGAATCAAGAAACTCAATTATTATTATTATTAATTTTAGACTAATTTGAGATATTCAGTAAAAGTTTTCGTCTTTTGTAGATCACAGGGCTCGGTATTGGATCCTTTGCTATTTTTACTCTTTACAAATGATTTGTGGAGTGTTCTTAGGAACTCTAGGCACGTATATTATGTTGATGACTTGCAGATTTATGTGCACTCTAGTCTTGATGAGTTGTATGAAAATATCAAACTAATTAATGAGGATGTTCAGGCCATTTATGATTGGTCATAATCCAATAAGCTTAAGATAAATCTCAAGAAAAGTTATTCTATGATTATTATGGTTCCTCTTGGAACATTAAATGTTTGAATTTGGGTGCATGCCCTTCAATTAAAATAAATAACACTGTTATTCCTTATGTATTATCTGTTAAAAACTTGGATGTCACTTTTCGTCAAACTCTTTCCTGGGATAAACATGTTGGATTAATTTGTAGAAGTGTTTATGCAACCTTACAACAATTCAAATGAAATAGAAAAACTCTTTCTGTCCAGTTAAAGACTCAGCTTGTCTCTTCATTGATTCTTCCACACTTTGACTATTGTTGTGCTGTTTATAATGATCTGACAGATGAACTTAATGATAAGCTTGAAAAACTTCTCAACTCATGCATAAGATTTATTTTTGACTTAAAAAGAAATGAACACATTCTCCATACCAGAAAAGACTGGGGTGGTTGAATGTTAAAAATCGTCGATTGTTATTTATTGGATGCTTGACTTATGTAGTTCTTAATACTAAAAGACCTCTTTATTTATTTGCTAAATTTACATTCAGATTTGAGGTTACATCTAGAGAACTAAGGAATCCCAATGCCCTTAGAATACCTCTCAGTCGAACTGAACAATATAAGAACTCATTTTTTGTTACTGCTGCGGATCTGTGGAATTCTCTTCCATGCTCTATAACTAGAGCGGATAGCATTGGTATTTTTAAATATTTAATTGCCTTCGATGATTGAGTTTTATTGTTTTGTGTAGTTTCTTGTATTAATTTTATCTGATTCTGTACTTATATAATTTATATTAGAGTTTATTTGCGTTAATTTGTATTCTATAAGTATATGCTTGTGATAAAACAGATTCTATTGAATATTATAAGTTTCTAGGAGGTTTAGAACTGAAATGTTCAAATATAGGTGTAATCTTTATATCATGATGCTCATTGTATTAAAGCTGCAGGTCTTGCGTCTTTGTGCTGTAACATGATTGCATTATAATCCTTATTACTGTGATTCTTTTGGTTTAAAATCTCTTTTCGTGATTTGTATAATTCTCTACTGTTTGTATTATATACATATATATTGTATTTGTTGTAAATCAATTGTTGTTCTCATGGTTCTCCTGGGACAAAATAAAGAAATTCTAATTCTAATCTTTTTCAACAATATAACTCAATTGCCTAAATTTTTTTTAAATTCAATATGAATAAAGTTCAGAAGGTGGTCCAACCCTGACTATGTTCCCCTATAATTTATTTATTTCACTGATTCCTTAACATAATTTTTAATATCACTTGTGTTTCGTGTAATCTTTATTTTCTTACGTCAAATGAATTTCAACGATAGAAGTGCAGGATAAGTTTCGTAATTATTTTTGCGGACAATTTTTAATTAGTTTTGGTGTGGCGTCAGGTAAATATGATGTCGAGAGACTCTTACACGACTTAAAGACGGAAACGGAATACCGAAATGGACGAAATCAGGATGGGGGAGAGTTTCAGAAACGAGTTTCGATTCCAAAGTTCATATCATACTGGAAGGTAACGGAAGGAGCGGAAACAGAAGTCGTGGATAGTTACGAGGGAGACATACGACTTTGAAATTCTCAACTTTCCATCTGATTTTAAGTTCCATTGGTCTGGAAATTGGTTGAGAGAGAGAGAGAGAGAAAGTGAGCGTTTTCACACTGAGTCTCTCTCGTTTCCCTCTCTTATCTCCATCGTTTTACACGTTACTTTTTTTTCATTAGATTTTATATGCTCCAAACTGCTAATTACATTTCTTGGGGAAAAAAATAATTTACAACTGTTTTTTCGGAAAACTAATTTACAGCCGCTTTTAAATCTTACGTCTTAGAAGGAGACCAGGACTGGTATTTCAGTTATTTGCCTGATTTATTTACAAAGCGCTGGGCTTTGAGCTAAGAGATCATGCTAGGGAAACTGATGCTTAAATAAAATAATTTATCCTTTTAAGAAATTTCGCCTCTAGGATCCATATATATTATTAATAATAGAAGATGTCAGATGGTATCAGAAAAAAATAATGATGACGTTTTTCCTTTCTAGCATCTTTATTATTTTAGTAGCCAACGTTTCGGCCTCTAATCGAGAGCCATCATCAGGGCTTTTTTGATGTTATAAAGAATATTTAAGAAATTTTTAAAAAAACGTAGAAAACAATAATAATAAAAGAAAGAGTGAGAGAGAAGAAAGATGATGTGTGTTGATTATTTGCAGGCTTCTTTGATGATCTCAATGGATTCGGAATTATATTAGATGAAGATGTTGTTTATCCAATTTGTAGATAAATTTTCGATCCTTTTTTTCTCGGAAAATAATGAATTTAAGAAATTTCGCCTCTAGGATCCATATATATTATTAATAATAGAAGATGTCAGATGGTATCAGAAAGAAATAATGATGACGTTTTTCCTTTCTAGCATCTTTATTATTTTAGTAGCCAACGTTTCGGCCTCTAATCGAGAGCCATCATCAGGGCTTTTTTGATGTTATAAAGAATATTTAAGAAATTTTTAAAAAAACGTAGAAAACAATAATAATAAAAGAAAGAGTGAGAGAGAAGAAAGATGATGTGTGTTGATTATTTGCAGGCTTCTTTGATGATCTCAATGGATTCGGAATTATATTAGATGAAGATGTTGTTTATCCAATTTGTAGATGAATTTTCGATCCTTTTTTTCTCGGAAAATAATGAATTTAAGAAATTTCGCCTCTAGGATCCATATATATTATTAATAATAGAAGATGTCAGATGGTATCAGAAAGAAATAATGATGACGTTTTTCCTTTCTAGCATCTTTATTATTTTAGTAGCCAACGTTTCGGCCTCTAATCGAGAGCCATCATCAGGGCTTTTTTGATGTTATAAAGAATATTTAAGAAATTTTTAAAAAAACGTAGAAAACAATAATAATAAAAGAAAGAGTGAGAGAGAAGAAAGATGATGTGTGTTGATTATTTGCAGGCTTCTTTGATGATCTCAATGGATTCGGAATTATATTAGATGAAGATGTTGTTTATCCAATTTGTAGATAAATTTTCGATCCTTTTTTTCTCGGAAAATAATGAATTTAAGAAATTTCGCCTCTAGGATCCATATATATTATTAATAATAGAAGATGTCAGATGGTATCAGAAAGAAATAATGATGACGTTTTTCCTTTCTAGCATCTTTATTATTTTAGTAGCCAACGTTTCGGCCTCTAATCGAGAGCCATCATCAGGGCTTTTTTGA